TTAACTGTAGTGTAATAAAAAATGCCCCAAGGAAGCGTTTTTGTTTGTTTTGACTATGAAACAAGCAATGAAAAATGCCTCATAAAATTATTAGATATTGCATGTTCAAACTTCAGTCTGTATATTTCCATAACCAACATTTAGAAAACCCAAAAAATCCCTGTGTGCTGTAACTAAAAGCAAGTAAGTTATGGAATGTCTCATGCCCACTTTTTGGTTAGTGACACTTCCATATTTCTGTCCATAGAGCTGCTCAAAGTGGTTATAATGACAAGAACTGAGAAGTGCTCTCTCAGTTGATATGTTTGAAAGGTAGCTTTGTATGAACAGCTGTGTTTTCTAAATGCTTGCCACCTCTAAATTGGTCCTTGTGAAGTGCACTGTTTGCCTTATTGCCAGCAGGGCACATTGCACTGTAACTGCTGCATTTTTAGTTTTTATCACTGTCTCTCTAACTGCTGAAGTGGAAAAGAATGATTGCCAAAATCTGACGTGTTTCTTTTCCTTTCTGCCCACTCTGACTTGGTTCTTAGCTGTCTGTTGCTCCAGTGATGACAAATGTTGCTCAGTTTATTCATTCACTGAATGTCTTTTCCAGCTCAAATAATGGTGATACCCTCTTGTAAATCAAGTCTCCAGCTGTCAATAGCAGTAAATCAAAGAAACCTAATTAAGACATAACAATCATTGTTTACACAAGTAATAATTAGGCTGCAAAAAGTCGCACACATAAGGGTACATTTTTTTAAAAGCAAGAGATAATACCTTAAAAGGAAGAGACACACCACATTTAGTAATACACCAAGTATAGGTGGCAACAGGGATGGACCTCCAGAAAAAAACAGATGATCTGTTCACAAAGATTTAAGCAGTTTTAGTACATAAATTCTCGTGCACAAAACAATAACAAAAATCCTGAAGCACTAATAAGGAATACTAATTTATTAGATATAAAATATTTAGCTTTTTTATTCACAGACATTAGGAAGCAAACCATACTATTTCATCTGGATGAGGAAATACAAGTGCAATCAGTGTACCCACAAATATTTATAAGTGCAGCTGGGTAAAGAATTACATCAAAGACTCCAAAACTATGATGCACAGTTCTTGCTGCTGCTCGTGTGGAAACATCTATCCTGCACCTCAGCTTACTGGTGGTAATCTGCTGTGGAACCTTACCTGTACAAGCTTCTCTACTCTGAGAAAGTTCTAAGAATAGTACAAGTTTTAAGAATTGCTTAGAACATCACATCTATAATTTTGAAATGTCACCAAAATCCACTAACAAAGAGTTAATGCTGGCATAGTTGCATTATTTGAAAAAACTTATTTTTTAAAACAAGAAAGAAAATTATTTTTTGGCACTGAAACTGTTATGTATGTTAACCTCAGTTATTTTAAATACTACTAAGGAAACAGAACAAATAACTTTCAGGTTCTCTGTGTCCTTATATTAGTACCTTTAAAACTCAACATTCAAAATACAAAACTTTCACATAAAACTCTAGATGATACAAAGCATTCAGCTTTAAAGCACCAGAACACATAAAAAAACCTCTGAAGATCACTGCTAATAAGAGCATTTACATTCAATTTTATTCAGTATTTACTATTACTAGTACATTAAAAAAGAAAAGGAATCAATACGTTCCAGAAGTTGAAAGTAACATGAAGTTAAATGTTTTTACCCCAATACAAACACTTATGTCTGTGATACCACATTCTTCAAGGAAACTGAACTTCTGATACAGTTTATGCTGCTGAGTGCAATTTACATGAGGTTTATTTTGTTACAGTGAATGACATCTCACTTTTCACTTCAAAATTATTTGAAGATATCTCAAGGTTGTAAATTAGTTACATACACACAGACACACTCACATAATCAATGCAACTGCATTAAGCAGTTATACTGCTTAACTTGATTCTGGGCTTTGATCACTTCAAGTAGGACTGGAAAACTTACATCAGCAAACCATATTTTCTTATATTCTTAGTCAAGAATACAAAGGACCAAATTCAAATTTTGCCACTCATAGCATTATATGTAATTTTTGTTGTTGTAATGTATGTCTTTTTTATGTATTCTGTCATGTGAAGAGTACTACTGTCATAGGATTTCGTTTTAGGTTGTCCTGCCAGAAGTAGGTGATCCTTATGGGTCCCATCCAACTTGACATACTCTATTCTATGATTGCATGATCTCATAAGCCACCATGGATGTCCATTCTACTCCAGAAACATTTTATTCTACACCTTTAATGACAGTTAAAAACAAATAGTTTTTTTATATAAAGAAATACATAGATATGCCACTATTTAAACAAAAAATCTTTCTCAATTGAAACAGTGTATTTTGAAACTATGGCTGCAGGCTGGAAGTGTCAAAACTATTCTACAATCTGTTATTCAAGCCACTCAACCTCAGTGAATATTTTACACAAGACAGAAGCACTTTAACCAAAGAAATAAGAAAGATTTATGCTAGAACACCATATGAGCTTGAGCTGGTGACTTATTAGCTAAAGCACTCACCAGAAAGAGAAAGGACATCAGATTAAATCATAATGAAGCAGAATTTCAACCTGGATCCCGCTCTTTTTTTTCTGCTGGTTTTGCAGAAAGCCTATCTGATATGTATGACACTGGTGCCCTTACTTTTGGTTTGAGAATCCCATTGAAACTAGAATATAAAATCAGGTGTATAAATGTAAATACAGGAGTATGTTGGCTCAAAAGTACAGGAAAATGTAGTTTATGTACTTTAAATGGTACAGATTCACAGGTGCCTGGGACACACATGAAAACTCCATCTTGGTCCATATTTTACTTTTCACAGTGGCCAATATCAAATTTCCAGGGAAGGACAGAAAATCAGGTCAGATGTATTGTTATGCTTCCCAGAATGCTCTCACAAGTACCTCTACTGAGCAGAAGTCCCAGAGCATCATAGTGGGATCAAAAAACTGAGATAAGACATCTGCAGTAATAGTCTGTTGAATCTCAATTAATTTGAAATTCAGGTAAGATTTTCAATAATCTTTCAATTATTTGAAACATATATTTTGTATTTGTCATGCTAAAAATATATTTTAATATACAATCCAATTGAAAATACAATAGTCAGCACAAAATGTGGTTCATGAGTATGTATCAAGAACAAAAAGTTCTCTGCCACATGGCCATCCTCTTTTCCCCTTACACAGTAAATTACATCTCTATATTTGGCATAGAAGGATTTCTACTAAGATCTTTAGTAAATGTGAAGTACTCCACTTAGGGGTATCACCTTACCTCCTGGTGGCAAAATTAAGAGCAAGTTGCAGTCATTAACTTTTCAACACAAACCTTTATTTTTCTGCAAGCCTCAAGTTCATCTCATTTCTCAGAACAAAGGAACAGATTATATTTTTACTATTTCAGTCAGTATGTCTTAGTATTTTAGCATAAACTGGGCCATGTGCATAAAAACATACTATTGATCCTCAAAACAACAGAATGTTTTCTGTATGTTTATCTCACACGTTGTCTGTTCACACTATTAATAAACTTGTATGTTAAAATATTAAATGTTCTTAAATGCACATAACACAAAGAAGAGCCTCAAAGGCTTGCCAAATGTACTTCAAATTGGCCTGATGTTCATATTACTTTACACAGTCCAACACCTTTCTTCTGCACCCATTCATGGAATGAATGGGTGAACACTATGTCAAATCCTCCTGGGCTTGGAAAGGACACATAAATCCAAATTCTTGACACTTAACTTTTGCAATTCTATCTATACCAGCAAAGTTATTTATAATGATAATTAAGCATTGATCTTAAGGTTTGTAAACAATGTCAATGTGAATTTTAGCACTACAGGCAGGGGGGGGAAAGGGCATAAATGTGTATTGCACAACGGTTTTCAGAAACAGTCTGAATGAAGTGTAAAGTCTATATTCTGAAGTAAATTAAGCAGTGAATGTATACTACTTGATATAGGAAAATACAGAAGCTTTTGTATTACATGCATTGGAACAAAATGTAAACTCAAAGTTAGATTTGTTTTACTGCACAAAAAAAAAGTACATACCAAAAAACTGGGAAGAGCATTTGATGCCACAAGTGGCATTGATGCCACAAGGTTTCAGTTTTTACTATAATTTGGGACCTGAAGGCAGTCTACAGGTTTCAAATTCTTGCAGAGCTACAGAGCAAAGAAGTAATCACTAGTGTAATTTTTTTTTTTCCTTATCACTCTGAAGACACTTTTTCCCTAATATTCCTTGTAATTGAGGTTATTGAAGTCAGAATAAGCAAGAAAGTCAGTGATTAGCTTGAATTTGCCAAGATCAGAAGCTATTTATTATAAGGTACATATTTCCTTTTAAATAGCACTTAAAATAAAAAAGTTTTCTTTCAAGAGAGCAGCTACAAAAAAGTATTAAAAATCATAAAAACTGTGGATTTTCAGTTTCATATATTTCTGTATAAATATCTCACAGTCTTGCCTAAGAATGTCATTAGGAATGTGTACTAATCCAACTATTCCATTTCCCTTTCATTTTAGATAAATTACATTCTTTATAGTTACAAACTTCATGTAAAAAAGTTAAATATTCATGCTCTGTAGGATTTTTATCAGTATTTACATTTTCAAAGCCAACAGAAATTAGTCTATTTCTAGAGATAACTGAAAGAGAAAAGAAAATATTTTAAAGGAGGATAAAATATGTAGAAAAATCTCACTGATTTATTTTACCTTATACTCTGTGGATCTTCATCTTTCTGTAGAACAACGCTCCACTGGATGTATGACAAGCTAAAAGTCTAAAGACATATTACTATATTAACTTAATTTATGCTATCTGGATACCACTATAATACTCCAGACACCACAGTCATTTTCCTTTCTTACTTGTAATAATTAACAGCAGAGAGCAAAAGATAGCTAAATTAATTTATAACTTTATAGTTTCTTATACTAATTATTTCCTCTTCTTGTATTTTAGGTCATCTTGTCGTTCCTGCAAACACTAATCAATCATGGGATTTGAAGTTAATACTACTAAATAAATGAATTGTTTAATCTCCTATGACCATCTATACATACTTCATCTTCACAAAGCTCATCAATTTTATATCAGCAAGGACAAAGTGACCTTCATTTCCACAAAATGCTTCTTATTACTAGACAAGCTGGTTACAAATTTATCATTTATCCTCAGGAAGGAAGTCCTTCACAATCGTCATTTGATAAATGCAAGATTGTGCTTTATTAATTGACCAGGTCATACTGAATTCCAAGACTATTATTTTGGAAGGGTCTGTTACTTTCCTGAACATTTGGGCTAAGATGAAGGACCTGCAACTCAAAATTAATTTACTGCTTGGTCTAGTTACCACTGCTCTACTACAAGCCGTAGGACGAAAAGCAGACTGCCCGGAGTCATGTGTATGTGAAATCAGGCCATGGTTCACCCCCAGGTCTGTCTACATGGAAGCTCCAACAGTGGACTGTAATGATTTAGGCCTTCTTCATTTTCCAGCCATGCTGCCTGCTGACACACAAGTTCTACTTCTACAGACTAATAATATTGCAAAAATTGAACACTCAGTAGACTTGCCAGTGAATTTAACTGGTCTAGATTTATCTCAGAACAATTTATCCTCAGTGACCAGTATTAATCTTAGAAAGATACCACAGTTACTGTCAGTGTACCTTGAAGAAAACAAACTTACTGAGCTCCCTGAAGAATGTCTCTCTGGACTAAACAATTTGCAAGAGCTTTATATTAATCATAATCTGCTTTCTGTGATTGCACCAGGAGCTTTCATAGGCCTCAATAATCTTCTCAGACTTCATCTCAATTCAAATGGTCTTCAAGTGATTAACAGAAAGTGGTTTGAAGCTACTCCTAATCTTGAAATTCTCATGATTGGAGAAAATCCAATAATCAGAATTGAAGACATGAACTTCAAGCCTCTTAGCAATCTGCGCAGCTTAGTTTTAGCAGGTATAAATCTCACCGAAATACCAGATAATGCTTTGGCTGGCCTTGACAACTTAGAAAGCATTTCCTTTTATGACAACAGATTTGTTAGAGTGCCCCATATTGCTCTTCAAAAGGCTACAAATCTTAAATTTCTGGATCTAAATAAGAATCCTATTAACAGAATACGGCGAGGAGATTTTAGCAATATGCTGCATCTAAAAGAGTTAGGAATTAATAACATGCCTGAACTGATTTCTATAGATAGTCTTGCTGTTGATAATTTGCCAGATTTAAGAAAAATAGAAGCAACCAATAACCCCAGATTATCATACATTCACCCCAATGCATTCTACAGACTTCCCAAGCTGGAATCGCTCATGCTCAACAGCAACGCACTGAGTGCGCTGTACCGCAGTACTGTGGAATCCCTGCCTAACCTCAAAGAAGTCAGCATACACAGCAATCCCATTAGGTGTGACTGTGTCATCCGCTGGATTAACATGAATAAAACAAACATTCGGTTCATGGAGCCAGACTCCCTGTTTTGTGTAGACCCTCCTGAATTCCAAGGTCAGAATGTGAGACAAGTACACTTTCGGGAAATGATGGAAATCTGTCTTCCTCTGATAGCTCCTGAAAGTTTCCCATCTACATTGGATTTAAAAGCTGGCAGCCATATCTCTTTGCACTGCAGGGCAACAGCAGAACCAGAACCTGAAATCTATTGGATAACACCATCTGGACACAAACTTTTGCCTAATACTATCTCTGATAAGTACTACATTCATTCTGAAGGAACGTTAGACATAAGTGATGTAACACAAAGAGAAAGTGGCTTATACACATGCATAGCAACAAATTTAGTTGGGGCAGACCTAAAGTCAGTCATGATTAAAGTGGATGGCTCTTTCCCTCAGGAACACAATGGATCTTTAAATATTAAAATAAAAGACATAAAATCTAATTCTGTTTTGGTTTCATGGAAAGCAAGTTCTAAGATTCTGAAGTCCAGTGTTAGATGGACAGCCTTTCTGAAAGCTGAAGACTCCCGGGCTGCACAGAGTGCTCGAATACCATCTGATATAAAGGTATATAATCTTACACATCTAAATCCATCAACTGAATATAAAATTTGTATAGACATTCCCACTATCTATTCTCAGAACAAGAAACAATGTGTCAATGTAACCACAAAAGGACTGGACTTGGAAGTGAAAGGCTATGAAAAGAACAACATAATAGGATTCCTTGCCAGCCTTGGTGCTCTTTTGGGAATCATATCTGTGATATATCTCTACAGCTGCATCTCTCAAGATATGAGCTATGGCACTGGACACAGCTATCTAAGGAATTACCTGAAGAAACAATCCTTTTCCCTCAATGAGCTTTATCCTCCTCTAATCACTCTTTGGGACATGGGCAAGGAAAAAAGCACAGCAATGGAAGTAAAAGCAACTGTAATAGGAGTACCAACAAATATGTCATAAATATGTCAGTATATAACTTACTTCTGAAATAAAAAGCACATGACTGTATTTGTGCTGAATAAAAAGGCAACAAGAAAAAAAATATTTCTTTTAGGAACTAAATGCCTGGATTTTGTTGCTGCCAACAAATGGAATATATATGACAAAGTATGAGAGAAGAATTTAAATTAACTGGCTTCTAAGGGTATTCTAACAACCAAATAAAATTAACTTCATATTCTAGAACTTTCATGGGACTTTTAAGTCTGGAATACAGTGGAAGTAGCCAAGAACATTTTCTGTATTTTTTTTTTAAATTATTATATAAAAGTAGTGGAACTGAGCAATACCTCCTCCTGTGCTGTATTACACAAAATAGCCACGAGTTTTTGCAGTGAACAGATATACTAGGATTGACATATGGTGTAATGAAATGGACAAACTCTGTAGAGTAGACACAGTGAGTATGTGAATTTTTTTTAATGAGAAAATACATTTTTGATTAAAATCAAAATAATTTTTGTCTTGTTGTTTCTAAAGAAAACACCCCACCTTTCTGGGAGTTCTTGTCTGACAATAAACAAACACAATCCAAAGTCTGATAAAATATCTCTTTACATATTCTCCTATGAAAATGCTAATCTGAGCACAAAGGATATTTTTATTGATTTTAGGTTGTATAATGTTCCTAACAGAAGCATAAGTTTAGTGATAGCTTTTTAGCAAATTTTATTTACCCGAAGAACATTATAAAGGCAAAAGGAATGTTGGAGAAGAGGCCACTTAAACCCACTTAAATTAGATTTCAGCATGGATGTTGGTTAATGAATAGTTCTTTGATCTTTTTATTTTATACACTTTATGTATCTGTGTGAAATACTTCTGTTCTCTTAGCAACATATGAGCTTGCAGATTTCTATTTCATTATATCTTTATGACATCATTTTATTATTAGATAAAAGTAGTCTCTTCTAGAATACATGGCAATGCTTTCCATGGTAGTACTGTGAACCACCATCCATATAAACATAACATCTTTAATCTCTATACAGAAACATCCCCATGGTATTAGCCATCTTCCATGACCAAAGACATTTTTCTGTCAAAATCCCCACAGAAGTAACAGGTGAGTGGTGGAATTCTTGTGTAGCTGTATATAAAAATGGACAGCTATTTCTTCTACAGATACCCTACATAAGCCTGAAGTCCTTAGGAAATAATAAATGTGCTTTCCAGCTTTAATAGCATAATACATATTAACTTGCATTTTTGCACAAACATGCAAAAAAAAAGTAAAAGCAGTTTTTTCAGCAAAGTAGAATCTCCTAAAAATCATAGAAATAACTTAGTTGTGCTGAAGTATGATTTTTCATAATCTCAATTATACGAAGGTTGTTTTTCTCTACACAAGGCATAGGGCTAAAATTTTTAGGTATTTCATTAATTGGTATGTTTACTCCAATGGAGGAAGAAACATAAGGAACTGTATTTCATTTCCTCAGAAACAGGAAAGTATTGTTACACACTTGTGTTTCCATTTATTTCATAGTTTTATCTCAGGAATGTATTAAAATCCTTTAATGCATTAATGCATTAAAAGCAGTACCTACTGGTTATTCAAACCAGAAGAGTAGAAATAGGTTAACTTTTCTTTGGCATTTGACAGCAAACCTCATTCTGAAATGTACCACTAATGAAAAAGAGAAGGCAAACATAAGTATTTGAAATATCTGGCTAGATACAATACTGAAAAAAAAATTCATTAATTTATATTACTTTTTTGTATCAGCTACTAGACTGAAAGATGTTTTATTCATAAAAAGATAAAGCATTTACTTTTTGGTAAAAAATTTGATGCCATTTAAAAAAATAAGCTGCAGTATTTAATCAGCTAACACAGTCAAAAGCTATCTTATATAGGAACATTTCAGTTTCTAGTTTAGCTAAAAATGTTGTGAAATCATAACTTTAAAAAGTACCCATAAAATGTAGATAAGAAATTGGAGAAAAATACATGGATTTATATCCTAAAAGGAAATTTCCATTTCCAAAATTCTCCAATAAAACTTATTCTGCTTGTGTAGGCTGAAGTAATGACCTCAAGATAATTTAAAACAGAAATTAGGATTCTTCCCATAATGTTTGCTGGCCAGTAAGACATAATGATCAATAATAAATAAAAGATCCTTTTTTATCTGAAGCTAGAAGAGACATTTCTAAAATAGGTTGCTATATGGTACAGAAAATAAGTTCACATACCAGACAATTCTAGAAGAACTGTGATAAAAAAATTGAAAAGCAACTCTGTCAGACATAAGGAAGAAAATAATTCTTATTATTCAACTGAATTCAATGGATCTGTGGCATTGACAAAACAAGAAATTTTACATGGAAGAAAGTATACAGTAAGTATGTAAGTAAGAAAGTATACAGTAAGTAAGTTCATTATTAAAACTTCAGAAGACATTTTGAAAGCAATAGCTAAATGGAATAGAGGAGACAGCCATTGAACACAACCTAAAAGAGTCATAAAGTGGCTGAAAGTTCACCTCATGCTAAAGATTAGAAAAAAAATTGAAAAAATAATAACATGCAGCTTTTGTAGAAGTCAGAAACCAAATTACTAGAAATATATCCAGAGTAAAAAAATTCCTGCTATTACTTGCTAGGTAGGTAAAAAAAAACCCTATCTTCTGAAATACAGGCTGACCTTCCAAATCTAGTGTTTTGGTAGGTCAGTTGACTGATGTACCAAATGTGTAATTTAAATAGCTTTTCCTTTCATATCATTAGAAATTATTGGAACCAATTTTCTCAGGAAAAAAATCTATGTATACTCAGGGAAAATGCTGAACAACAACAACAACAAAAAAAAGAGAAATATTATCAAAACAAGGAAAAGATAATCTAAACATTTAGTAAACAAAAAATCAAGACAGAGAACAAAAATTAAGCTAGGTGACAAAATTTGTGAAAATTAAAGGAAAAAACCACCAAACTTCACTTCCACATATGACAGCTATATAAGTTAGATATTTAACAAGAGACTTGCAATTACTCATTTATATGGATTAATTCAATATATTACTGAAACTTGGCAAGCTTTACATGATTGGAATGTTAAAATACACAATCATAACCTGTCTAGTCAGAACTGTGCTTTGAAACTGAGACTTGAGCTATTCACTTCACTTTCAATAAAAATTCTAAAGGAGTTGCATCCTCTTCAATGTTTCCATTATAGGGCAGTGTGAAAAGGAAGTACCAGACTGTAATCTGTCCATGACTAGCTGCAGTTCAGTATTCTGAGACAAGATGTACAAACAACCTTTGTAAATAGCATAAGCATACAGTAAAACTAGTAATGAATAATGAAAACAGACCCTGTGGTATGAAACTGACTATGGTTATGTTATTTTTCTGGCTACATTAAGTAGTGTTTCATTTCTACAGTTGTGGTGATCAAAAAGAGATAGAAGGGTAAGCCAATTGGACATCATGTTTAAAAGACTTGTTGTTTTGAACAATCAAGAAAAACTTTAAATAAATGTGTTGTACATCTACCTACTCAACTACAATATTCTCAGAGAGATATAAAGCTGCAGATATAATGAAGTACCTTCCAAGTAACTGAATATTTTAAGTAATCCTTCCTTCTTTCAGAAAAAAAGCTGAAAACTACATATTAAATTCCTCTTTCAGCTAAAAAAATACTTTTTACAAATGTCTCTCACTTATCTTTCTCTCTCTCAGCTTCAATTATTTTTAGACCCTTTTTCCCAAAGCCCTTTTCTTTGCCTTGATGCAAATTCTCTGTTCCCTTCCATGCTTCCTGTGGGTTATTTGTTTATTTCCTGCTACTATTTTTGCCAGACTGTCACATCATTTTCAACACTTCCCAGTAGGGACACATGTTGTCTGACTTACTAAAAAAATTATCAATTAAACATAATATTTGGAGGCAAAATCTTTGAATAGAGAAATACAATTCTAAACTACAGACCTGGCATTCTTAGAGAAAAACCTAGTTGCAAATCTGATCAGGTAGAGATTAAGAGTCTCTCAAGGAAAAAAAGAATAAATAATGTAACAACATTCCAATGAAAATAATAATATGGGAGTTAGATAAAGCTGGACGGGCACGCAATTTGGGCAGATGGCCTATTCCTGATCCTAAAATAGCTGATGTCGTTTTAACACTACAGTTTAGATAAGCAGAAAACAAGCCCATCTGCCTTACCCTTACATAGCTATTGTTTGTTATCCATGTTAATGACAATTTCACACTGTGCTCCAAATAGCCATAATGCTTTCATGAATCACAAAAGTACATCAAATTCAGTTCTGGTGTCTTCACCTATACACACTTCTTACAGACTAGACCTAGATTCTATAAAGAAAGCCTTTCAGCATTCATATACTGCACTTTACAGGTCAAAGAGTTTAGTGTTTTGTCATTGAGCATGTGAGCATTAAGTCAGATTCCATGCGATGGCTGTTGGGAATAACTTTTGAGGGTAGAATCTTGTCATCCATTCTTATTTTTTGTATGAAATTTTACTCTGTGCTGTTAACACAGTAACAGTAACTTCTTTTTGTTTTTGTCTCTAGTGTGAATGTCAGCTAAACTTAAAAATATACAGTTGAATTCTTTATAACACCAGAGAAAGTGAGTTACTTACTGTCTGAAGTCTACTAAAGACAGCTAAAACATAATTTTGACATAATGGTGGAATGATTTCATAGGAAACAGAAACAGATTATTAAAATAATCTATTCCTAAATATCCAACATTTAAATGGAATATAAAGGGGCTACAAATAGAATCAGAATTACCATTTTTAATTAAATACAAAGTGCCCAATAACCATGCCAAATAAAAAAACTCAACCATTTAGAGTTAGTCTCATTATAGTAAAGCAACAAACATCAATACATTAGAAATTATCAGCTGTGTTTTTCTTTATGTATCAGGTAATAAAAGGATTAAGTTAAATTGTTACTATTAATTATAGTATCTTAGATTAATCTTACCTTAACAATTAATAAAAAATGGAAAATTAAATTGTTACATAATTTATTTTATGAGTGCTTTGAAGGTATTAATGATAAATGCATGCCCATTTTTAGCAAACTAAGGCTATACTGAAAATTCGTGTGTTATACAACATATTCCAAAATGTGAAATAATGCTTTCTCCTAAAACATGTGCTTGCACAATTTAAACTATCAATACCTAAAATAGATTGCACATGCACACCACTATCCCAATTCCATTTATTCTACAAGAATGTAAAAGATTTCTTTACTCATGCTAGGATGAACTGCATCCCCAGGACCTCCAGACTTTTCATTTGATGAGTTCACAATAGTAGAGACAAACATCACAACACTTATAAATGTATCATGTCCAAATTAGCCTTTCAGGCTGTTGAAGTCCAATAAAAAATTACATCCTTTTTTACCTTCCAAGAAATTCAATGTCTCTTGTACCCTTCATATTTCATTCTTTCACTCAGCAATCACCTACTGTTTGCTTACACAAAATTACATCAGCAGCAGCCCTCCTTTTTAACTATTTTCTACTTCATTAATACTTCATCTTTTTCCCAGCCTTCTATGAACTAGACTGCTTCCAATATCCTACTTCCTACAGTACTTCTAGAGTATCCTTCTCTATGATATTTGTTGTCATTCTGTAATTATCAATGACATGAAAGAAAAACAAACAAAACCAAAACAAACAAACAAACAAACAAACAAACAAACAAAAAAAAAAAACCAGCTGAATTGCTCTGTGGACTTGAAGGCACATTTTGAGTGTAGCCAGAGGAAAATTGCAACCCTGGAAACTCTGCAGTCTATTCTCCAACCTACTTCAGCAGTCAGCTGTGCTTTAATAGCATTATGCTAACTAAAGCTCCCTTTCTTCCCCTTGGTCTTAGGAAAGCTGCCTAAAATGGAGGATGTCCACTACAGGCAGAGTAATTGGAAGTTATTTGTAGCTTTTGCCATATCTGGATTATTAAAAAAAGAAATCAGAAAGAGAACAATCCTATTATTCATCTAGCCTTTCAAAAGCATACAACAATTTTTAAGTATATACAAATTCTAGCCTTTCAAAAGCATACAACAATTTATAAGTATATACAAATAAACACATCACACCAAAGCACATACACCAAGGATTGAACACCTGTGCAATTAATTAAAGGTTTAGAAGAAAAGAAATAGAAATATATTGTCAAATGGTTGTAAATCTTTTCTCTACCATGCTGAGAGGAAGACAACTCTCCACCAGTATTTCCTCATATAGTGAAAGCATTTAGGTGTGTAATTTCCACTGAATTTAACAGACACTAGTCTCCAACCTGTTCAGGTAGTTTGGACATTACAAAGTATGCCCCTGGATGACCAAAAGCCTGGCCATATGAACCTATCCACCTGACTGAGAGCCATCAAGAATTTTCATCTGCACAGCTCAACTAAAGACAGTTTAAATGCAATATACATCATTCATTTAATTGAAAACATTACATATATTTTTAATTAAGACAAAACGGAAAAAGAACAATATTATTTATTTAAAATGCTTAGAATAGAATATTTTGTGGAGACCATCTGTTTTAGAATTAAATAATTCAATATCCATCAAAGAAATTCTGGAGAGTGAAGAAAATTAAATACCAGCAAAGAAATTCTCTTTATGTTCAGATATTATCTAGCTACACACAAAATAATATACCATACAATATATTCTAAATTACTGTATTTTAATATATCACAAACAAAATAGGTTTACCTCAGATTCTTACTCCTACTGACCTAAAAGGTTTTAAAGAGTCTGCTCCTGCTATTCATCTCTAATTAAAAATTTTCATCCTACAGACTTTCTTTGACTTCAACTTGTCTTCTTCTTCCTTTTTTCTCCTTCATTTAAATTTTGTTTTTTGCTTCAAATATCTTACACATGAAAATTCCCTGTTCTTGTATGTCGTGCAACATTGTGATCCCACTATCAGCATTTATTTTTTATCATTCGAGCAAAGAACTCTACTTTTCTCTTTCCAAAATTTATATCCCGCCACCTTGGTTGTGCATAAATAATCTAAATGTTTCATGCTAGGACACTTACATTAAGATGACAAACTTTATGTATAATGTGATGACTTTATGGTTAGTAAAAGGTTTGCCTTAAAGACGTGAAAACTTTCTCAAAAATATTTAGAAAATTGACAAAATATAAGAAAAAATACTTAAACAAAAAATGGTAAATTAATAACATTCATATGTTGCTAACAAAGTGCCGACCATGTAATCATTACAAGTAAATGTGAGGAAAGATGAGAAATTTTAGATACTCAAAGGGAGATAAATGAATGGTTAAAACCAATTGTAACATAAGATGGAACAAATACCATAGAATAAACCAGGAAAGAGCTGTAAAAATGCGGCTGAAGGGGCCAAAACTGCTAAAAGAACAACTTTTCAACATGATCAAATCAATAAATAAGATAAAAAATAAGTTGAATGAACAAAGAGGTGTTACAAGTAGGTTTAAAGACAGTGAAGGAGAAAAATAGGATGAACAAAAGGAACAAGTGAAGGCACTGTGTCTAACAGCCCATCCTGGAAACACAATAACCAAATGCAGCAATAGACTAGTCAGTAGTTAAACAAATTTTAAACAAGAAGAATTATCTGACAGTATTATCAGAAGTTAAGAAAAAATAATAATAAAGACATAAAGAAAGACTCAAGGAAAACAAGTGTTCTTTAAGATACCATGAAATATAAATATAAATATAAATATAAATATAAATATAAATATAAATATAAATATAAATATAAATATAAATATAAATATAAATATATATAAATATATAAATAAATATATAAATAAATATATATAAATATATATAAATGTATATATAAACGTATATATAAATATAAAAGTTTCAAATTAAGACAAGACTTGACAAAATAGGAAAGAAAAAGAAGACAGCAGCCCTATGTGCTTTCAATTTGGCCAAAAATATTTAGTACAGCAAAAAGCTGTAAAGAAGATTTACCTTTTTTTAAATTTATTTGTTGTTGTTTTATTTTCAAAAATATTTTAGATTATTCTGAAATAATGCTAAGGAGACAAACTATAATTTCCACACCTTATGATCATGTGTCAAGGGAAAATTTACAATACTAATTATAAAACAAGAGCAAAAATATTTATTAGAAAGTGAAAAAAAGTGCTTAATCATGACAAAGAGCATGTTAGGGAATTCTGACTTATATGCAGAAGGCAGTAACAGTTAGTCTCATTTGGGAGGTTTCATTCAGAAGACAACTGAAAGCTGATAACCCTGTGTTATTAGGCAAAATACTTTCATAAGGAAATCTCAGAGGGAAGGAGACACTATAGTGTCTAATTAAAGAGAGAACTCAAGGTCCAGGAGCTGCTTAACGGTATCAATTATAATGTCACTAATAACCACTTAAGGTTTGTGATTTTTCTAAATATTACCAGAGCCAAAGAAATATCAAATATTGTTTTTAAGAGGCCTCAAAGTTCTTTAAAAATAATTAATTCTGAAGGATTAACTACAAAATCCATTTAAAGGCAACAATGAAAGGCACTGGAAGGTATTTGAGCTTGTTTTAAACGATATTGAAAGCAAGTGCATTCCAACAAAAAGAAGCCAATCATTGTTATATAGAATAAAAGCCTGAAGAAAAAGAAAAGACCAAGAGCAGAGGGGAAAACAAAGAAAACAAAATCAATTAAATTAAGAGGAGAAAAGAAGGAAGACTAGAATGATCCTATTTAAAATTAAGTTATAAAAGTCAAGTTAATATATTTAAGTTACATACTAAAATAATGACTGATGTAAAAAATTCAGTCAGAATACAGTAAGAGAAACCTAGATTTTTAAAAAGAATTTTTAAGACCCCTTTTAAAACTCTTAGCAAATAACTGAAAAATTAGTGAAATTGTGGAAGAGAGACTGAATAAGCCAACTAGGTGTCAGTATCTATAACAGAGCTGATCTGCTAAATCTCTGGTGATATATTTACAAGTAAAGCTGCCTTTCCTGCAGTTTGGAGAGATTTGAATTATGAAGCCCATACATTGCTGTGAAGCCCTTCAAGGTTTTTCTAGCCCAGCTCCAAGTGCATTAGGAATTATTAGGTTGACAGAAAGGCACACTAATAAAAACTTATTAGTGTGCCTCCCTCATAGATTGTATACCCAAAGGTGCTAAAATGTACAGTTACTAGCCATGGTAGTCTGGACAATATCACTCCACACTCAAGGGGTAGAAGTCAATGATTTGTACTGGTTTGAGACCAGTTGCAAGAGGCATTCCTTAGGGTTTTACTCTGGGATTTAACTTGCTTATTAATGACCTGAAGGAGGAGACAAAATTCTTACCAATCTGACAATGCTAATTTGGAGAAGGCAGTCAATACATGCCACCACCAGTGGCAGCCTAGGGCTGCTGTTTAGAGGAATCTAAAAATGCTGGAGAATTAGGCCAACAGGCTGACACAAAATTCAGCAAGAACACATGCACCTAGAGTGAAATAACACCTGAATGAGTACTAACCTCTCACTGCCCCACTGGATAGCAGCTCTGCTGAAAATGACCTGGGGCTCCTACGC